TTTCTATTAGCCAATCAGAATTTGCAACGTCATCGAATGATCTACAAAAATTAGCCAATAAGAATGAAAGCCCGCTAAAGTAGACAGATTACTCTCACGTGACGAGACGGAGACATATATTTTTAGTGTTCATTTTTAATAAATGTAAGCGTGGCCAATCACATAAATCCTTCAATAATAACATATAAATCAGTCTTATCATGTGAATTTATTACTTAGTCGGCTAAGCCGACTAAGCAGAATTTTGTAATATCGACTTAGTTGTCGATAGTTAAGAATACTGAAATAACACTATGGAAGAAAAAACTGACATGACTGTCTTCATTGCTCTGTTAATGAGGGTGGCCCGAGCTTTCTTTCAAACACCGCAAATTGTAGTATTGGACTATCTAACAAAGCATGAAACTGCGATAAGTGACGAAAACTTGGCAAAAGGCGTTGGTCTTACTGTAAAAGAGATCCACAAGCTTTGCGGAACGTTGAAAGAAGCGCGTCTTATTAAGACGTTTACCAAGGCCGAACCAAAAAAGGCTGAACAAAGGGCCATACCTAGAACATTTTATTACATCGATTGGCAACAGGTTACTGCTTATAAACTTGATTTTACTCATCTTATTCGCACCTAACATGCAATTTATTTTTTAAGGTCGTCAACGTCATAAAATGGAAAATTTATAGAATCCGTGAAATGGTGGGTGATAGAATGAGAAATGTGAGTATTTGAATATTCCTTTTCAAATTTTTTTTCATATGGTTAAAACTGATCTTATATTTATTAATTAATTATTGATCCATTAATGATTAAAGGAGCAAGAAAATAAGGGCTATTTATGCCAAGGTTGCAAAAAGACATTCGCACCGCTCGAAATACGTAACTTGTTTGATACAGTGCGTTCGACCCTTGTTTGCGATTTATGCCATACGGAATTGATTCACAACGATAACGCTGAAAACGTGAAAGACACTGAAAAACTTCATGGAAGGTATTTATATTTATTTATTTATTTATTTATATTTATTTATTTATTTTTATTTTATTTTTTATTTTTATTTTATTTTTTATTTTTATTTTTTTTTTTTAACATTTTTTTCTTTTGATTCGTATTTTAGATTCATGGAACAAAGTCAGCCTATCATAGATTTGCTAAAAGCCGTTGATAAATTGGTGATTCCTGTGTATGTATGCTATACCCTAGGTTCTAGAAAGTTATTTGGAATCTCCATAATTCATGCTTATTGCATACAAAAGTTCATCGATTGATAAGATACAAGCCACGTCTGGTGCAAAGGGTGACCAACAAGGCCCAACACGTACGTTTATATATGTTTTTACTATATTTATACCATCATTTAACGTTTTTTTCGTTATTTTAGAAGATGTACCGTATGCTAGAAATCAAAATTTACATATGGAGGATATCGTTGTCGTATTTCAAGATGACAACGAAGCTTCTAAAGCGGAAAGACAGACTCAACATGCAAAGCATAAGTAAGACAATGTAGTAAAAATAGTCTTTCTTGATTTATTGATTAATTTGGGGATAACTTACTTTTTAGGCAACAGAATGCACTTCCGGCATGGCATATTCGTAGCACTGTAACAGGTGAAGTTATGGCTACTAATGCTGTAAATGCGGGCTCCGCTCAAGAAAATGAACAAAACGAAGAAAGTGGTAGGACAAACGAGAATGATAGTGAACTTGAAAGCTGTAAGCAGTAAAAGGCGGTTTTCGTTGCATTTTTGCTCGATATTAAATTTTGTCTAATAATATACATACGTCAGTCTACGCAGAGTATTACGCAAATCTTAATAATTCTGAGACAGAGTCGCCATTAAAAGTAGAAGATGAGGACGAATTTGAAGAGGCAGAAGATTACAATGATGACCAGGACTTTGAAGAGATCACTATAGACAATCAAGAGTACGATGAATTTGTTGAATTGGATGTTAGCGAGAGAGAAATGTATACCCTATAGTTTCATAATTAATTATACTTCTTTCGTATTTCTTGTATTAAAATTTTTTATTTCCATAGCAAACGATCACGAACCGACTCTCTTGATGAGAATAACGGTCAATATATTAGCAGAAACGGTCGTTACTGGTAAGATATTGATAACAAATATTTATTTATTAAGGTCATACAAATTAATTTCTTGGTTTTTGCGATTCTGTTGGATCAAAATTTGAAAGCTTCCAAAATTTATTTTTGTGCATTCTAATAACCGGGTGAATATCTTAAAAAAAAAAAAAAAAAAACAGGGCTGGTGGACCTGTTTTGAAGTTTTAATTTTATGAAATACCAAGAAATTTGTATGCCTAATTGTAAATGTTTTTGATTAATTCAATATAGAAAAATATAATTTTGTCTTTTATCTATAGATTTCCTTAAATCCGCATGTGGTTTTTTCCATGTTATCTCATCATGAAATAGCTGGTTCAACTTAGTAGAATAAAATAGAATAGAATATATGTATTAATAACATCATTTTTTTTGATTTCCTACAAAATCACATTCTGCAAGTTTTTCTGATCCATTCAAAAAACCAAAAAAAAAACAACCCTTATTAATAAATTACTATATATAATGATTAATTTGTTAAATTAACTTTATTAGACCTTTGACAATTCATCGTCAATGTTAAATTTTGCTTTCACAGTTTTAAGGAACTTCTAATTTTTGGTGTATTTATTAGCCGGAAATAGAGGTCAGGTAGGGATGTTAAGGTTCAGCAAAGACCATGGTTTGGCCTGGTTTTTCAAAATAGTTTTTGGTTTATAAATTAAGACTGATCTAAATATGTTAATATATAGTTGCACTTCGATATA